ACCCCAACAGCTCAGGGGCGCCGTACAATGGCTGACCCTGCGCTCTGACCCCAAGCACAAGATCTGAAGGTCCCTGGTGACACGTTGGCGGAGGCCTGGGTGAAACAGGCAAGGGGGGAGTTGCCATGTGAAGCACCTTCGTGTTGTGAAGAATGAGAGTTAGTCAGCACGGCGGCTGTCTGTCTGTCGGGAGCCTTTCGCCGAGCTTGTGATCTCGCAGCTAGAGGGCTGGCCTCCACCCGCCATCTTGGTGAGAACCCAGCACAGCTGCTCCTATTGGCCGATCAGCTGGAGATCCTGCACGGTTTGCGCTGCGATGCAGCGAGTCCACAGGCTGCTGAGCTGACCGAGAGCTTCTCCATCGAGGGCCACAGACACAGCCGCTGCGGTCCGACAGTTCTTATCTACAGTTTGGTGATGAGAGCCTCAGCAGAAAGCCCTCTGTGGTTCACACATCAGATAGCAGACTGTGAGTCTGAAACCTGAAACGCAAACTGTTTTTTTTTTTCATTTTAAATACTTTGCAGGAGGACTACCCCACATCTCAATGCTTGCACTTACTTAACACATGAACTGAACACCAATGTAACTGTACGGAATTAAGATGTAATTGTACTTAATCGCGCTACTGTGTAAAATACAATATGTAGTACTTAAAGCCCCCCACAAGCACACGCACGCCTTAAACCAAAACAGAAGCCCTTTCGCTCAGCTAAATTAAGGCAAACATTTTCTAAGCAGGAAACAAAACGTCATCGTGCACATTTTCTTGACCTGTCGGAACGGGAGCACTCGTGCGAGACAGGCTATATGAGAAGACACCACAGAGCTGCACAGTAATAAAGAATTTTCTGCAGGCGCAGGGCCATGCACTCGCCCTCAGCCAGCTGTACCCTCAGCCTGCGGCTCCCTAACCGCATACATGTCAGATCTGCACCCCCGCGTTTATTCCGCTGCGTGCACACGCCTGATCAGCTAGGCACCGGGGTTGCACTTTCGAGCCAAGGCTGCAGAGATCCGTGCTCTTTGGAAAGGCCGAGTTTCCTTCAAGCCTGCCTGTCGTTACAACATTAGATGTTTTCCGTCTTTGTGCACTAATTAATCTGGAGATGAAGCAGGGTTTTATTCCAGCCCTGATACGCGTCCCCGGTGATTTCAGCGCGTTATCCCTCGACCTGAGGGACTGTATGCACACGCACACACGCAGCGTGCGCGCCCCCGCTCACCGACACGTCCGCGTCCCCCAGCAGCTCCACCACGCACGCCACGCACAGCGCCACGCCGCCGTCCGCCGGGCCCACCCGCGCCGCCCACCGGGGATCGTGCCGGTGGTGGGTCTTCTCGTACACGACGTCCACCTCCGCCATCGCCTGAAGTCGGGCCCTCAGGCCTCCTGGCGGCGTTGGGAAGTCTCCAGATGGCGGCAGTTATTCTGCAGTTGAAAAGCCGACAATTCAGCACAATGCGGCCCGGCCGCCCCTCTGGCCCCGCTAGAGCTGTGTTTAAACCCCCTCAGATACTGAAACGTCCGCTGACCTGTGTCTGCCGACACCCGACTCGGAGCGTCTCTGTCCGTTAGACCCGAGCCCGCGTCAGCACGCCTCTCGTCTGGTGCCGACGCCTCTTACTTTTATTCTTATTCGACGGTGTGGTGACCGAAATGAGAGTCGTGGTCAATCACAGCCCTCGCAAACTAACGGCTATCCCAGGGTCTGGACACAGATACCAACAGATCCCTCGGGGATCTACAGTCGGCCCCCGGGCCGGACTCGCACCAGTCCTCCGGCTCAACGGTTCACCGTCAGAATAAAAACCCCATTCTGCGTCTTCAGGTGTCATTTAGGCAAAGCAGGTCCCTCACGAAATAACCTGGACGACTCTCCGGTTGGCTGGGTGTGGGTCACGAACTGAACGGAATCGCTTCAATATTCGACAAATAACGACAAGATAGTCGGGAATTAACGGTTGGCGCGAACCGGCCGGAAGGAACCGCTCTCGCGCGCCCCGCCGGGAAGAGGGATCTGGCGTCAAATCCCGTTCGGCCAATCAGAGGGGGGCGACCCGAGCGCGAAGGCGGGGATAAGCCTGATTGACGTCTCCTCGGCCCAATGAGGCTTTCACGTGGGCTCGCCGGGTGTCTGCGTGCGTTAGGCGCAAGAGCTCCTGTTGTTTGGGGTTTTTGCTTCCTGTTTATTTGCATCTTGTTTTGGACACCCTTTCATCTCGTGTCAGTGTTGTGTGTGTCGTTCAACAGAAATGTAAAAAAAGAGCCAAAGATTTGCGTTTTACGCCTCCAGGGTGTTGATCTCTGCGCTACGCGACTGTTTGCTGGCCGTGAGCGTATCTATTTGTGCGCTTATTTACTTTGTCTCTGCGGATTGATTTCATGTTTAAGGTCACAATTTGCTTATTACCATGACGACGCACACCACTGCTGGGGGGGGTAATTACAAGAAAAACCACAGCAGCTCAGCGCGCACTTCGGGATCTGCACATAACGGGGTGCACACGCACTTCAGTCTGGGGTGATACTAGGCTCAGTCCACTGTGGGGGGACACGGAGAAAGACGCTTCAGTACGTTTAAAGAAGTAGTGGCCATCCTGGGGCTCTCGCTCGCGGGCGTGTGGGACTCCAGCGTGGTCGTAGACGAGGTCTCGTGTGATTTCCTTTCCGATGTCCGCAGACTGCAGACACGA